TATACAAAACATATTATGGGACTTAGGGAAGAAGCAAAGGCAGGGATCAATGTGGTTGGTGGGAGGAACAAGTGTGGAAAAATGGAGGCGTGATGGGATAAAAGGAGTCGGTCACATGTGAATGGGTTGCTGGTCTGTACACTTGTCTGGCCATGCCCTGCACCTGATTAGCACAGTCTGTCTCGTCTTCCTACTTATCTCCATTTCTAGCCATTTTCATGGGTGAAAGGGTTCTCTCATCTGTTTGCATGAGTGTGTATGCAAGTCTATGTCCCAGCAACAGGAGTGGAAGGGGCTTAAAGGCAGCTTATAAGAAAGATGAAGAGAGACTTTTACCAAGGTCTGTGGTGATAGGACAAGGGGTAATGGTTTTACATCTACCCCAGGGAGAGCTGATTTAGATTGGACCTAAGGAAGAATTTTTTTACGCTGAGGGTGGTGAGACACTGGAACAGGTTGCCCAGAGAAATTGTGGATGACACATCTCTGGAAGTGTTCAAGGTCAGGTTGGATGCAGCTTTGAGCAACCTGGTCTAGTTGAAGATGTCCCTGTCCATGGCAGGGGGGTTGGACTAGATAATCTGTAAAGGTACCTTCCAACCCAAACCGTTCTATGATTCTATGGAGACCATGGGTCACTGGGGCCTGTGCACCTGTAGAGTCAGCAACTGGAGAGACTGGAGTCCCTTGAGGTCCAAGCATCAGCAAGCAGGGTAGGAGCCATGGATCACAGCAACTACAAACACCAGAGCATGTGCATACTGTGTGGGTGGGTGTGTCGCATATAATGCTTAGAGAATACCAAACCAGACTAGGCAGCAAATAGGACAGAGGCTTAGGAACCAAGTGTTGGAGCAGCCATAAGTCTGGGCTGGATACTAAAGACACCAGAGTGGTCTAGGAGTTGGCTACCAGAGGGGTCAGGAGGCCCAGGCCAGCTACCAGAAAGACGGTAGGGTCTGAAGGTCAGCTATGGATAAAGTTATAAGCCTGGACCAGCTACAAGAACTGTTTGCATGTGTGTGTCTCTGTGTGTCAGCAACCAGGACAGCAAGGGGATCCAGGGGTCAGGTAGAGGGTAGACCAATTGCCTAAGACCAGTTACTGGAGGGACCCATAGTGCATGTGTCTGTGCACGTGTGTGTATAGGTCTGAGTACGGGCAACTGGAGTGGGGCTGTGGGCCTTGGCGGGGTTTGTACGTCCAGGAACTGGGGAGACCTGGGTATCCAGGGGCCAGTTGTTGGACAGACTGAGTGTGTAAGACCGGCTACTGGAGGGATCCAGGTATATATATTTTCCACTAACAGGCTTTCCTCCTGCTCAGCCAGAGAGGTACAGGATGAGGCCATTAATACTGTTTGTAATTGTGCGATTGCTGTGTTTTCAGCTTATGTTGAGCTGTGCGGCCAGACCCGTCTATAAATGTATTGTGTGCATGTGTGCGTGCATGCCTATTAGGAATTACACGCTCAGCCTCACAGCTCAGTGGACCTGGGGACATGGAACTGTGACAGCCTCACCTCTACTGGGCTTCCAAATTCCACAGCTTCTAACTAGAAATAGGATATTTATCTGTAATAATTTGGGTAGTTATCTGTAATAATTTTTCTTAAAACTCCAAAAGACTGAGGACCTACAAAAAGAGTTCAATGCAAACTTCCTCTTGAAGAAAGCACTCCCCAAGTTTGCGAAGATGGTCCAGAATATATATTGCTCCAAGCATTTAGGCGTAGAAAAGCCACACAATTTTTAAACACCTTCAAATTCCAGTTACCAGTGAATGTTCTCTTTCAGAAAAGAACCACACAGCAAGTATTACAGAAATGTAAGCCATCAGCCAGTTAAAAGAAAGCCAAAGGTACTCTAGACTGAAATGTTTAAAGGACAGTTCCTGACACTTGCAAGCTACAGTTCAGGAAGGCAGGAGAGTTAAGTCAACATTTCTAGCACTTCTATTGTATGGCTATCAATCCTGCAAAGCAGGCAGGCTACAGCTCAAAAAAAGCAGCTCAATTCCAGCGTGTGCAGGATGTATTAAAACATGAGTCTGAAGCACTTGAAAAAACACTTTTGTTTTTACCACCCTACCAAGCGCTGGGGGTGATATCATTCACTTCTCCCTCTAAAATGTTCATCTAAGTGCATTTGCTACCTTTACTATAATACTGCCTTTACTATTCCACTAAGTATTTTCAGTAACACTGAGTAACTCTTGCAACTAAATAAACTGTATTCAATGCATTGACCTGCCTGAATTAGTTTTCAGTCTGCAGTTCAAATATACATACATTTCAAAACAAACAAGTTTAGGAAAAGTTGTTGGAAGCATTACCTATCACACAAAACCTGGTTTATCAAAAATTAACAAAAACATTTGAAATAAAAGCCAAATTTACCCAAACACTTTCAAATTGTATTTAAAGATATGAATGCATTATTATTATTACAGCAAAATACTATATGCATTGTTATAAAATTTAATCTTCTTTGCATAACTCCCGTGAAAAGTATAGAATTAAGGGACTGACTGTCAGACAAGTGCTGAATGTATATACCTCTTTTTTTCTGTGATCCAGAACATCATACCGTTTGGATTTGGTGTTTGTAGCAATGCTCTGGTAATGAGTACTGATCTCTTCAATACCTTCTATGTTTATATGCTGGAGCTCTAAAAGGCTTTCCATAATATTGCTCATGTCTGAAATCTTCTCCAAACGTTTACAGAATGTATCAAATTTTCCAAATATATAGTTTTCACTAACAATAAAAAAAACCAGAGGGATTGTTATGCAAATTTATTTGTAATAGATGTAGCCACATATATTTAACCTACATATATTCTTCCAGAATTGCTACCAAGTTTCACATAAAAAAATCTATGCTGTAATAATTAGAAATCAAGCAAAAAACATTTTAAACTAATGGCTATAAACCAGAAAATGCTTAATCCTTATATATGTCAATTAAAAGCCTTTACCACATTTTACAGGAGTTACTCTTTTAAATAAGACATTTGCAGGAGATCAAAATGTGAATGTACAACACCAAGAAATGCTCCATGCTTTAAGTGCCAATACAGGTAGAACTCCCCTTGGCATTGTGATAGAAAACCCAGCCCAAAGCTCATTAAATTCCCCTGGAGTCTTTTCACTTATATTCATTACTCAAATTTGTTGCGATTTCAGACCATACATAAACATATGTATTAAATTAACACATGCATAAATTCCCCTGAAGTCCCCTTGGCATCTGCTAAATCAACAAGTGACTGGCAAAATCCTGTCACTGGTCATGTTCTGATTATAATAAACACTACATTTTAACTGAGTATTTAGCTTTTCTGCTGGCCAGCAGATATAATGACATCTCATTTATAAATTGTATAAATTAATATGATTCAATATTAGAGCGAATTATTTACCTGAAATCAAATTGCCTTTCACTCGGATTTTCCTTTAGCGCCTCCCTAATTCTCTGAAAGGATGTTTGGTACTGTTCTTTGAGGGAAATGCATTGTTGTATCCTCTTTAGCAATTCTTGCCTGAGGAAAAAAGCACAGAGACAGAAAATCATCTTAAGGAGGTCTTCAAAAGAGTATAAATAAAACCAGAACGTTTCAGTCAGATATGCAATTTTGCAAAATAAGAACAAAAAATTATACATTACCTGAAAAGCATTCAAAATATTAGATTATATTACAAGGTTTTGTTTTAAATTTGTTATCTAGATTGGATATTTTTAAGTTAAGGTTTTACTGTCATCAACCCAAAACTTCCAGTCCAGAAAGGACTTACATCAGGTAAACCCTGGCTACCGAGTGCCTGCAGTTTGGCCATTTCTCATGTTCTGTAACCTGGGTATTGCTGATGGGTCTGTCTTTGTTTCTTTGTTTTTTCTAAGCGGACAAGACTGGAGAGGTATTTTTCCAGACTACAGTAAGCATGAGGAAAGTCTTGTTTCTTTACAAAGACGCACCAGGAAGATCTCCGTTCTTAAGGCCACAGATAGTTACATCTTATACACAGTTCTTCATCAACCCTAAAGTACTACTATACACAAGAAATACAGATGAGGTGTGGAAATTTGTTATAAGCCATTTACCCAAGACTCTTGCTCCACTTTGGCTTTGTCTTTTGTCTTCCAAAAGATCATCGGGAATTAAAATGAGAGTCAGATTTTATAGATTGAAACCACTAACTGGGACAGACAGAAATTTTTGCAGGGACAGCAGCAGCAAATAAGTAAATGAGAAGAATGTCTCAAAAATAAGTTCAGCTAGAATAAACAAAAAATGTATTCTACTTTTATTTACATTAATTCTTTAGGATAAACATAGCCAGTACTTAATTGATTACTGGTAACTTCCAAAAACTTCCCTTTACCCACCGCAAAATACAGGAGAAATCCAAATTATTTGTCACATTGACTTTTATATCTCCTAGCCTGTTACCTCAGTGTCACCTTTAACTAGGCTGGAATTTAAGCACAGACATCCTGACTGTCTATGTCTTGATTAAGCTTGTAACACCTTTTCTTTCTCACCTCATGTCCTGGTTTCAGCTGCGATAGAGTTAATTTTCTTCCTAGTAGCTGGTATAGTGCTGTGGTTTACATTTACTATGAGAATAACGTTGATAACACACTGATGGTTTAGTTGTTGCTAAGTACTGCTTACACTAGTCAAGGACTTTTTCAGCTTCCCATGCTCTGCCAGGTGCACAAGAAACTGGGAGCAGGCACAGCCACGATAGCTGATCCAAACTGACCAAAGGGCTATTCCATACCATATGACGTCATGCTCAGTATAGAAACTGGGGGGAGTCAGCCAGGAGGCTGCGATCGCTGCTCGGGGACTGGCTGGGTATCAGTCAGCGGGTGGTGAGCAATTGCATTGTGCATAACTTATTTTGTATATCATTATTATCATTATTATTATTATTATTGTTATTGTTATTATTCCTTCCTTTTCTGTCCTATTAAACTGCCTTTATCTCAACCCACAAATTTTACTTTTTTTTCCTGATTCTCTCTGCCATCCCACTGGGGAGGGGGAGGGTGAGCGAAAGGCTGTGTGGTGTTTAGCTGCCTGCTGGGTTAAACCACAACACCTCAGTAACCATAATCTTGCTCCATTTACACTTTTTCAAGAGACTGTTCCAATCATTACTTTTCTAGTTGGTAACTTTAGATGTCATGTTCATCTTAACTCGTCTCTGTGGTTTCCCCCTTCTCTTTTGCATGAAAATAATTGACTTGTTCCTATAGTATGTGTTCTTCCTAGGCTATCTCCACTTAACTTCTCATCCTTCAGATACACTTGTTCTTGCCAGTGACATCAGCATTCACCACCCACTTGTTAAGTTTTATACAAACAGTTCTGTGCTTCCACTTATGCTGTATGTAGTAGCACTTGGGAGCAGCTCCTTGCAAGTAGCCACAGAGCAGCTAACTTGTCCCTTCCTTGAAAGCCCTCCTTTAGTTCTCCTGCCAGTGATGCCTACAAAACATCCAAAGGCATCACAAGGTTTGCTGACAACACTGTCATTCCAGCTGACCAACACTGCATGATTGCTGTTTTTCTCCATCCCTCTTTCCTCCCCCCATCTCACCATTCACTTCTTATGTTTCAGATTGCAAGATCTTCTTATGTTTTAGATTGCAAGCTCCTTAGAGCTGACGCAAACTTTTTGTTCATTTTCTGTATAGTACCTAACATTTGCTGAAAACCAGGGACTGTTGCTACACTAATAGCTGTAACAAGAACAATAGAAAGGAACAACAAAACTAGTCTTAGGCATGTCTAACTAGCAAACCTACAGTAAATCTAGCTTTTTAAATTTAAGGTGTCTCATTGGCACTATTAACACTCCTCATGTATTTGCTCATACAGCATTCTCCATGGAAAACTCAGAAAATACAAGTCTGAGTCCCATCCTATCATCCACTTACCTTGCTCCAGAGTACAATCAAATTGTGATTCTGGTCCTGGTATATACTGTCCCCTTCCTCAAACTGCCTTTCCTGTCCACTAACAGCAAAATACAAAACTTAGATGGAATTTTGCCAGTCTGTCCTCGGAGCTTCTTTATGAAGAACCTTAGCTCCCACTTCTAATTGCTCAAGTGTGTTTTGGTCTAAAAAAAGCCATGGGGACAAAATATCGAGTGTTGTATACTGATATACGTTACAAGCTTTTCAATAACAGTTTTTCTCACAACACATAGTAAATTTGTTTTTGCAGAGTACTTAATTCTACACAAAATGAGTAGTCAGAAGCTTAAAATTAACATGGGAATCAGAGCTGGTAGGAGGACAAGGGACTATTTAAATTTACCTTTTAATAATCTTGATGACTAATCTATAATTTTACTTTACTTTACTAGTGTTAACAAAAGAAGATGAAATTATTAAAATTCTATCACCTGTCCAGATCCCAGATTTTTGAAACACCTTCACATAGGTACGTCTTGCATGTGTTAATCATTTGATTAGTGATTTTAAGAAGAAGAGATGTCATGCGCTCTGATGTGTTGTAGTATTGTGATGTACAGTAGATCATACATACAGTGTTCATTAAACTGGGCACATGTTCCATCATTGTTACCTACAACAGGAAAAAATGGGAGTCAGCAGTTCGAATTTCTTAAAAATGAACACAAGGGAAAATGTGATGGCTCTGGGAATATGTTTGTCAGTGGATAAACATCTTTTTGATTGTAACATATTGTTCTTGTAGACATCTCATTATGAACAGGACCATCCAATTCATTTGTGGGGACCTAACACACTATGACTAAGAGAAAACAATGGGGAATGGGTAATGAATAAATGAATAGATCTTCTTCCAGAGTGGAACTTTCCAAGGGAAAAACAGAGGCTGTACTCTTTTTGGCCATGGCCTCCAGTATATGAAGGTGCTGTAGTCTGCTCTGCAAAGGAATATGCCACCTGAGGAAAAGAAGTCATACACTGCTACAAAAGAGTTGGCCTGCTGTAGGAAGGACAAGAAGAAGAAAGCTGGCCTTTGCTTATTTTGCTTCGATCTGTACAGAAGAGAAATCCAGAAGGGGGAGGCAAGGCAACAATAATCTCTCTCTACTGAGGATACTGAACTACAGAGTTTTCTGTCCCACAGAAAGATTCCACAGAAATGCATGCAAGCCAGATATACCGAGAACCCAGAATAAGAGACAGTGACTAGTCTAGAAATGGATAAATAAAGCATGGTACCTAAAAGTCAAGTCCAATATGGCAGAACAGTGAATATTTGCAGAAGAAAAGCAACATAAGATTGCACAATGGATTCAGGCAGAGCTTAAGCTTTGAAAACAATTTTTAGAAAATCTGTAAGCAGCTGGATTATGTGTAAATCTTCCGAACCATGTAAGCTTAGACAGTTTTGCCTGGTGGCTGTATCTTCAAAATTCATGCTCTCACTTAAAAAATGAAATCTGAGACCCACATGGTTATGAAAACAAGTCTTATCATTTGAACCAGGATGACAGTAAATACATGCTACCTGCAAGAGAAACAGCTTTAACCTGTAAAATAAGTGGAAGCTGCCCAATTTCAGCTCAACTGAAGGCTTAAGATCATTTTATAATATATATATTAAAACAATCATGAGTAACTGCTAACTGAAGCATGGAGACAGGAAGAGGTACCTGTCCTGGTTTCGGCTGGGACAGAGTTAATTTTCTTCCTAGTAGCAGGCATAGTGCTGTGTTTTGGATTTAGTAGGAGAAGAATGCTGATAACACACTGATGGTTTAGTTGTTGCTAAGTACTGCTTATGCTAGTCAAGGACTTTGCAGCTTCCCATGCTCTGCCAGGTGCACAAGAAACTGGGGGCAGGCATAGCCACGATAGTTGATCCAAACTGACCAAAGGGCTATGCCATACCAT